ATATATAAAAAATCCCAATGGGGAAATACATTTACTTCAAACCCACTGTGGTACAGCGTTGACATATGGCAACATGCCTATTTTGCCGTAGTGGTACAGAGTTGCCATATGGTAATATTGATATTTTCTCAATTTACAGTAAAAACTACACTGTAAAAAAAAATCAGTAAAATTTACGGTAAAATACCAGCAACTGTGGTTGCCGGAATTTTACCATAAAAAATACGGTAGCGACATTTTAATTTAACTTAAGTTTTAACTTAAATTTACAGTTAAATACCGTAATTTAATTAACTGATATAATGATATAATGTTAATATATCAACCTATTGAAGTACTGAAGTATTTCAACAACAAAAAAAAAAACATCAAATTTGAAATGCAATTCAGGGAATTCTGGGAATGTCAATTTACGGTTATTCACTGTAAATTATACGGTCTTTTTCCACTTCCAAAAACGGTATACTACCGTAAAAATAATGTCCAATACATGTAATGTCCAATACAGTTTTTCACCGTATATAGTAGGGGAATTTACCGTTAACCATTTAACAGGTTTTTACTGTAGCATTTTTACAGTCATTTACCATTAAATTCACGGTCATTTTTTACAGTGTATATCAAACTTGTTATTTCTTTCTAAGATTCTTGAGAAAATTGTGTTGACCCAGCTGCAGTCCCATTTGATGTCAAATAATATTTTAGAAAAATTCCAGAAGTCTCAACACAGCACGAAAACTGCACTTTTAAAAGTTGTAAATGATATTTTACTAGAAACAGATAAAGGGAATGCTGTGGCTTTGGTGCTTTTAGACTTAAGCTCTGCATTTGATATGGTTGACCACAATATCTTGATTTCAAGGTTGGAGAGCTATGTTGTGTTACAGGGCAAGGTGTTGAAATGGTTTCAATCTTTTTTAACAAACAGAAGTTTTAGTGTTTCCATTGGCCAACATAGTTCATCCTCACGCTCACTTGCTTGTGGGGTGCCACAGGGCTCAATTCTTGCCCCAGTTTTATTTTCTATATTTATGCTACCAATGGGTGCTTTCTTTGAGAAATATGGAGTGTCCTTCCACCTATACACAGATGATACTCAACAGTATTTTCCCTTGCAGTATAAAAGTAAAGAATTCTTAGGACCTCTGTTGGATTGTCTAAACGAATTACAAATATGGTTAAAGCAGAATCTTTTAGTGTTAAACGAGAACAAAACCAAAATCATTTTGTTTGGTTTAAAGTCATATGAAGACTGTGCCCTTCACTTTGGTCATCTCTCTTCCTACTTTACACCCTGTGCTAAAAATCTTGGTGTTCTTTTTGATTGCAACCTGGGTTTTGAGAAACAAATTAGTGCAGTGGTCAAATCAAGTTTCTTCCACTTACGGCGTTTATCAAAAATCAAATCTTTACTCTCTGTTAAACAGTTTGAAAAGATTATTCACTTGTTTGTTCGATCTCGTTTAGATGACTGTAATTCACTATACTATGGTATAATAACATTCTGAAAACAAAAAACTAACGTTCTCAGAACATTCTGGGAACCAGATTTTTTTCAGCTGGTAAGGCCTGTTTGTTTGTTTACTTCATCTGTTAAATCAGTAATAATCAGATTGTATTGAGAGTCGATGAGTGTAAATCCTGGTCATTATTCAGCATTAAACACAGCTCTGACTCCATCAATCCTGACTCAGTTCCTCAGGAACAAACGAGCCCTTCAGTGCGAGTGTTTGCCAATAAATAAGAAGTGGTAAATCCTGCTAACACACTATAGTACAGCGCTGAACGCTGCTTCGCTCTGCTGCTGCGTTTGCCGGAGTAAAGCAGGGTAAAGTGCTCTGAACACAAAACCTTCTCTGAAGGCCTCTCTGATGCGGTGTATTACTGGGAGTTTATAGACCATCACTGACACACAACCACCACAAAACCAGCATTAATTAAACACTCCATTAACAATAATAATAAACTAACATGATTAGACAATATTTTAATAATCTGAGACTACCACATCAACCAAAACATCTCGTTAATGAATCATAACCAAGTTGCATCGAATTTTAAGCTTGCTAATATGTCATTTTGCTGTTATTAAATGTGACCCTGGACCCAAAGGCTCAAAAATAAGCTTTCCATTGATGTATGGTTTGTTAGGATAGGACAATATTTGAAAATCTGGAATCTGAGGGTGCAAAAAAATCTAAATATTGAGAAAATCATCTTTAAAGTTGTTCAAATGAAGTTCTTAGCAATGCATATTACTAATCAAAAATTAAGTTTTGATATATTTACGGTAGGACATTTACTAAATATCTTCATGGAACATGATCTTTACTTAATATCCTAATGATTTTTGGCATAAAAGAAAAATTTATAATTTTGACCCATACAATGTATTGTTGGCTATTGCTACAAATATACCCCAGCGACTTAAGTCACATTTTGCATTAAGCAAATATAATCTCTTTATAGCATCAGACAAGCTCTAAATATTACAAACTTCCTAATAAACTGCACTACTGTTTAAAAGTTTGCAGTCAATAAGATTTTTTAAGAAATTGGATGCATTAAATTGATCAAAAGAGTCAGTAAAGACATAATGTGACAAAAGATTTCTATTTCAAATAAATGCTGTTCTTTTGAACTTTCTATTCTATCTGTGAATCCTGAAAAATAAAATGTATGACGGTTTCCACAAAAATATTGTTCAGCACAACTGTTTTCAACATTGATAATAATCAGAAATGTTTCTCGAGCAGCAAATCAGCATATTAGAATGATTTCTGAAGATCATGTGACACTGAAGACTGGAGTAATGATGCTGAAAATACAGCTGCGCATCACAGAAATACATTACAGTTTAACAGATATTCACATAGAAAACAGCTGTTTGAAATTCTAATAATATTTCACTGTTTTTACTGTATTTTTGATCAAAGAAATGCAGCCTTGGTGAACAGAAGAGACTTCTTTCAGAAACAGTTTACTGACCCCAAACTTTTAAACATTAGCACATATAGAAAAGATCATGTAGATAATGATGAAGCACTGGTTTAACGTGTGACATCATCAACCGGATCACACACAACCGCTCTGTCAGACAGTGGCCTGTTCACCGCTGGGTCCTTGAGGGCCCACGGCCGATATTGACACCGCCTGTAGTTTAACCTGTGTTTATCTCTGCGCTCTGTTCACCTGGTTACCATGGCAATCAGCCCATCATGCGCCCAGCGGCGTGAAGAGGCTCGATTTCACCTCCGCAACCCGACATTAGCACGACAAACAGCCCCAAACTACAGCACAGAGACAGCCACTCCACCGAGATACCAGAATGTGTTCATACTCGCAGATCACATGACCTCCAGCCTCTGCGCTCCCATTGGCTGATGTCACATCACATCATTTGCATAAAGCTGAAGTCTGCTCGACTGTAACATTGTGAAAACTGCAGCTCATGATGCTGAATGATTTCTGCCTACAGACTGCTGTCAGTATCAACACTTAATACTGATATTACAATTCTACACTGTTTGAAAAAATATTTAGGCCTAAATTTAAGATTTACACATTTAAATTGCATATCAAATTTCCATGCGTTTAGATTAAACAGTTTTAATAAACTAGCATAATGTGATCATATTTGTGAGTCATACACCAATGAAACAGGTCAGATTTCTGCACTTAAAAATAAATAAATAAATACATGAATAAATAAAAATCATGCCATAGTTTATTAACTATTTGCATCTATTTGACTGAATTGAAATAATCCCATTTTAAAATGCATTTATTCAAATTGCAATGTGTTCATTATGAAAACGACTATTTTTTTCAGTTATAAAGTATAAATGTGGTGAAATATGGCTAGCTGTGCAACAAACAATATTCGGTTAATTAAATTAAATTGAAACAAACTGAGTTCTTTATGATAATAATAAAATAAATAAAGTTGCTTATTGTGCATTTAAAACACATTGAGTTTATTAACACTATTACAGAAATCTGACCCGTTTCATTGATGCATGACTGACAAATATGATCACATTAAGTTTATTAGTTTATGTTAAAACTGTCTAATCGAAATGCATGGAAGTTTTACATTCAATTCAAATACATTAAGCCTGAATATGTTTTTGAGTGTATACAAAAATGCAATGTTCACACAATGCCACATTCTTTAAGTAAAATCAAGCATAAGGGATGCATAGACAGATTAATTACTTCTTGGAAACCGATTGAATAGGAACAAATAAACCCTCATATGTGACCCTGCAGCACAAAAGCAGTCTTAAGTCGCTGGGGTATATTTGTAGCAATAGCCAACAATACATTGTATGGGTCAAAATTATAAATTTTTCTTGTATGCCAAAAATCATTAGGATATTAAGTAGGGATGCACGATATTATCGGACTGATATCGGGATCGGCCGATAATGGCTTTAAATGTAAATATCGGCATCGGCTCGATATGAAAAATGATGCCGATATGTCTTGCTGATAAGAGGAAGGTAAGGTAAATAAGGGTGACATCTAGTGGAGAAGACTAATGATAAGATTCACGTTAATCAGATCTTGTTTTAAATGTGTGCTGAAATAAATACTGGAAAAGATCGATTCGCGGCTTTTGAGAATCGATATCGAATCGACGTCATTTTAAAAAACGATTAATCGGAAAATCGATTTTTTTTTTGCCCAGCCCTAGTTAAAAACTAAGCAAAATTAAAAATATTTTGCTTATAATTTTTGCACAGGAGAGACTTGAAAAGGAAATATATCGGTATTGGCCAAAATGAGTTGAATAATATCGGCATTCAGATTCCAGATTTTCAAATAGTTGTATCTCAGCCAAATATTGTCCTATCCTAACAATGTCCTATCCTTTATTCAGCTTTCAGATGATGCATAAATCTCAATTTCACAAAATTGACCCTTATGACTGGTTTTGTGCTCCAGGGTCACATATGAGCTGCACTCAACACTGAATGAGACGGAGCGCTCCTCACCTCCTCCACGCTCCAGTGGGCGACGCGACTGGCCTGAACGCCGGCCACACCGGGCAGAAGCTTACAGTGCTGCTCCCAGCACAGCGGCAGATCACGGCTCGGGTGAGCAGACATGGCCGAGAGGAAGACGGACTGATGCAGCGCCTGCTGGAGACCGTCCACGTTACGATCTGAAACACACACACATCAGCCATTTACTGCAGGCAAATAACAAGTTATCGTGAAAAGCGCTGTACAAATAAACTTGAATTGAATTGAATAACAAGAGCTTTCGGATCTACTCAACATAAGATTGTTTTTTTTCCAAATTTCTTTATTAAAGGGATAGTTCACCCAAAAATGAAAATTCTGTCATTAATTACTCACCCTCATGTCGTTACAAACCTGAGATATTTAGTTCAAAAGTTTGATTCTTTCTTTTTTGAAAGAAATTAAAGCTTTTATTCAGCACTGATCTGTTAAATTGATAAGAAGTGATAGCACAGATTTATATTGTTAGAAAATATTTATATTTTGAATAAATGCTGTTCTTTTTAACGTTT